TTCTCTTTTCCTTGGCCTTTGTCCCTTGCCATCAAGCTTTTGCTTACCCTCTGTTGTCCCCACCTTCTGTCTTGATGACTCATATCTATCTACCTCCCACTCTGTCCCCTCCTTCCTCTTCAGTGCCCTCTTGCCTGGGTTCCAGTGGCCTTTCCCTGGGGCTCCTCTTTATTCATAAAATAAAAGGGTCATAGAAAGAAGGGTCTCCATCTGGTCTGATGCCCTCATTTGGCAGAGGAGGAAACTGAGGCCCAGAAAAGGGGAAGTAATTGACCTAAGGCCAGTGTGGCAGACAAGACTAACACCCAGGCCTCCTGCCTGCCCAGGGAGCACCTGCCTCTCTCCTTCTCCCTTGGGCTCTGCCTGCCCATCCCCTGCCCAATGCCCAGACGGGTCACTTCCCCAGGTCCCTCTCACCCACACTCACCCCCCCGGCTCCCGCTGCTTTCCCTTTTCCTGCCTACCCTCCATGCCCGGCCAGTGGCCAGGCCCTGACTGACCCTACTATCTCTTCCAACAGTGCCTGAGGCTCCAGTCATTGACACCCAGCGCACCTTTGCCTATGACCAGATCTTCCTGTGCTGGCGGCTGCCCCCCCACTCACCACCTGCCTGGCACTACACCATTGAGTTCCGGCGCACAGACGTGCCTGCCCAGCCAGGCCCCACCCACTGGCAGCGGCGGGAGGAGGTGAGGGGCACCAGCGCCCTGCTGGAGAACCCTGACACAGGCTCTGTGTACGTGCTGCGTGTCCGAGGCTGCAACAAGGCTGGCTATGGCGAGTACAGTGAAGATGTGCACCTGCACACACCCCCAGCACCCGGTGAGTGGGCAGATGGATGGGCACAGTGTGGCACAGGAAGGGCACAGGGTATGCTGGGACCCAGGCACTAACAGCTGGGGCTGGGTGAGCACTGGAGAGACAGTATGATACATTGAGTCACGCTCACTAACTCTGAAACTAGACTTCCTGGGTTCAAATCCCAGCTCTGCCTCTTGCCAACTGTATAGCTTTGGGCAAGTTATTGCCCCTCTCTGAACTTCAAGTTCAAGGTATTTACAATACTTAGCTCATAGGGTTGTTGTGAGAATTAAATTGATACATGTAAAATCTTTGCAGAGTTTTCACCTCGTGTAAGGGTTCAATAAATGGTAGTAAAATGACTCTCCAGAAGAGTGTGGACCCTGGCACATAGGCATCATAAAGGAGCATCACCACCCACATAGGGGCAGAAAGGTAGGGGTTGGATGTAAGGACCAGATATGAGCACCAGAGTGCAGGCTGGAAGGTGCAGGCAGGTGGTGGTGGGAATTCCACATGGAATGGAACAGCCATGGGAAAGGGGTCAGAGGAAGCATCCGTGAGTCAACTGGGTCTGGAAGACCAGTTTCTGTGTCCACTGGTCATCACTAAAACTCTTCTTGGGGTCCATGCCCATTTGGAATATCCCCTTCTTTTTTTCTATGCCCCTCACTCCAGTTCCCCAGCCTGTTCCCAAAGCTTCCTGCCCACCCTTTGGCAACTTGTTTCATGTTCTGAAATCTCCCAGTGTCTTGTGCTAACACCTCACAGTCCCCAGTGCCAGTGTTTGTCCCTGAAGTCCTTCCTTTTGTCTCAACCTTCCCCCACTCCAGTCCTTCACTTCTTCCTCGATGGCCGCTGGGGCACAAGCCGAGAGAGGCTGGCCATCAGCAAGGACCAGCGAGCGGTGCGGAGTGTTCCAGGGCTGCCCCTGCTGTTGGCTGCTGAGCGGCTGCTCACCGGCTGCCATCTGAGTGTGGACGTGGTCCTGGGCGATGTGGCCGTGACCCAGGGCCGCAGCTACTGGGCCTGCGCTGTAGACCCAGCCTCCTACTTGGTCAAGGTGGGCGTTGGGCTGGAGAGCAAACTTCAGGAAAGCTTCCAGGGTGCCTCTGATGTGATCAGCCCCAGGTTAGGCCACTCTGGCAGGGATAGGGTGCGGGGGCCTTGGGTAGGGGAGCTGGGGACAGGGTAGGGGTGGCAGGGGGAGCACAGACTTGCTGGGGTGGAACTTGGAGGAGACTAGGAGGAAGCAGTAAGATAATAGAAGCCAGGATGGGGGGGGGGCTGTGGCCAGGGGAAATGTGGGAGGGATCAGTGGAGAATTTTGAGGACTGATTTTTGGAGTGCGTGGCTGGGGAAGGAGATGATAAGGGAGGGAACCATCTCCACTTCCATCTGTCACTCAGGACTAATATACCATCTCTCTGAGCCTCCATGTCTTTCTCCCTAATACCCCATTTCCAACATCCTTTCCCCACAAAACCTTTTCTTTTCCACACCTTTTGCAACCATATCTTTTCTTAACACCCTGAAATTCTTTCTTTAACTTTCCATCTCCAAACCCTTATATGCTTAACATTCTATGTAACACCCTCCCACACATGCTTTTCTCCCTAAACCCTTTCTCCCCAGCACTCTGTCCCCCAGGACCCCATTTCTTCAAAATCCTTTCTGTCCAGTTGCAGTTCCATCCCCAACCCCACATCTTTCTGACATTGCTCATCTGTGACACCAGTCTGCCCTCATCATCCTCCCCACACTTCACCTTCCCAACGTCCTTCCTCTGCCTGTCCTCTGACCAGTACCTTAGTCACTAACTCCTCATTTTCCAGCATCCTATAACCCTCAGAGCCCTCTCCCAGCATGCTGTCCCCAAAACCATATTTCTCACGGCCTCCTTTCCTCGATAAGGCTGTGTTTCTTCAGTGTGCTTTACCAATACCTTGTCTTTCCTTTGCCCCATACCTCTCTTGCCAGTGTGTTTCCTTTCAATACCCTTTTTCTGCCAAACCAAAACCCCAACCCTACAATCTAAACCCTGTCTCTTCAGATGTTTTCTCAATATCCCAAATTCATCTTCTCAACCAATATTCCAGACATCCGACATCTCAGCCCTCTGGTACCCCATTCCCCACTCCCTTATTCCACGCCCCAACATCCTCTTACCCAATGCCCTCTCCTGCAGGTACGACCCAGACAGTGGACATGACAGTGGGGCCGAGGATGCCACAGTGGAAGCGTCGCCACCCTTTGCTTTCCTCACCATTGGCATGGGCAAGATCCTGCTGGGATCCGGGGCCAGCTCAAATGCAGGGCTGACTGGGAGGGATGGCCCGGCAGCCGGCTGCACAGTGCCCCTGCCACCCCGCCTGGGTATCTGCCTGGACTACGAGCAGGGTCGGGTTTCCTTCCTGGATGCTGTGTCCTTCCGTGGGCTCCTGGAGTGCCCCCTGGACTGCTCGGGGCCTGTGTGCCCTGCCTTTTGCTTCATTGGTGGGGGTGCTGTACAGCTACAGGAGCCTGTGGGCACTAAGCCTGAGAGGAAGGTCACCATTGGAGGCTTCGCCAAGCTGGACTGACATTCTGAGCCCTTCCTGGGCCCTGGCCCTCCAAGCTTCCTGGAGCCGGGTGATTCCTCCGGCAGCTTTTCCCTCAAACTCTTCCTACCATGTAATCCTGTCCTTTACCTGTGTCTGTGTCTTTCCAGGAGCATCTCTTGACCAAGGGACACTCCTCTGCTCACCTCTCTGGATGTACCCCATTTTCTCCATTGCCTGTTAATCCAGACCCCCACCAAGTTTCTGCTCCATACTCTGCCCCTGGCATCTTAACCGAGTCATGGAGAGAGCCCCTTCCCCCATCCCTGCCCCTTTCTCCCCAGCACTCAGGCCAATTGACAGGGAAGGCTCCTGGAACACTGGGCATGATCCCCAGCTCTGCCCTCTGCCCTGCCAAGCTCCCTGCCCCACTGATGCTGAATTATAGCCTTAGAGTGGACAGGCTCTTTGGTCGGACACTGCCCAGGCACTCCTTGGTGAGGGGAAGAGGACCCTATCCTTTGTTTATGTGGGTCCCCATACCCTTCAGCCGCATGCCTCTTACACCCCTCTTCTCCCTCTTGCATGCTTTACTTGCCCCGCACCTATGCCAACGTGCCAAGTCTCCCTTTGGAGCCAGAGTGGAGGTTGGATGTCCCCATTAGGTTGGGCCAGGCAAGACCTCCGGTGCCCACTGCTGCCCCCTTGCGGTAGGGACTGCTAGGCCTGTGCCAAGCAACAGCTGTCATTTTCATGGTTTATAAACAATAAACTGTGATGCCAGGCACATCTCTGCCTTCCCTGAGCCTGACCATTCCTCTTAGTTTCTGTGCTGGGTGTGGCCATTGCTCAGGGCAGGGCTGCCTGATGGATATGGCGCCTGACCGAAGAAGGTTCCCAAGCCAGGCACCAGAGCCTCCTGCCCACAGACGCCCAACGGCCCAGGCCTGAGCCCACCATGGCCACCAGGGGGTGCATCGCTCTGGTGACCTCCAGAGTCATTTCCCCAACAAGGCAGCCTGCTGCGGCTCCCAGACTCTGAAGGAATGTGGTTGAGGGGTCAGGCACCGCGCCTGGGCTCAAAGGGGCAGGGAACCAGAACGACTTCCCCATTCCCAGGCCGCAGGGAGCAGACCCCAGAGCCAGTGGCGGATGGGGCGGCCCGCGGCCAGGGAGGGGACCGGGCTTGGGGCCAGCCCCGGATCTAACACTTACTGAGGTCGTGTTGACTCTGAGGCTGTTATCGCTGCCCCGAGGACTTACTTCACACCCCAACAGCTCAGAATAGAACTGCCTGAGGGCATCATGCCAAGGAGAGAGGAGGGTGCGGGCCTGCCAGCCCCCAGCCAGGGTGAAACCAGGGGTGAGCCATGGGGTGCGGGCCGAGCGGCGGGTGTGCAGGCCAGAGCCCAGCCACCTAGGTTTCATTTCCTCCTTCCTCTTGTGCCTCCAGCGATGGGGGAGAGGTGACTCAAATTCTTCCACCAGCCACTCCTGCAGCCCAATGTCATCTCTCCATGCCCCCTGCTGCTCAAATGAACCCTGCTCTGTGCCTTCTTTCCTCCTTGTCTCCTCCCCAAAAGACCCCTTCCAGACCCCCCCCCACATACATTCTGACCACCCCTTCTATCTGAGGGTCACAGATGACAGATCAGAAGTTGGCAGTCAGAGCAGAGGAGGCCCACATTTTATTCATCCACGTACAGGTTCCCACTCCCATCTGGGGGCTTTCGGGGCCAGTCCTGGGAGACACTGCCCCAGGCATATCCCCCCGGGAGCTCTGATGGGTCTCATCAGGGCTAAGATGGGTTAGGGGACTTGGTGGGGCTTGTGAGGGAGGCTGTGAGCAGCCCATCTGAACTCCCAGCTCACCAGTCCAGAAAGAGGAGGGGAACAATGGTAGTGAAGACCATGAGGAGGCAACTGGCTGGCACTGGCTGGATACTCAGCAGGCAACGTGCCCCTACAAGTTGGCAGAAGTGGCTGCTGGGTTCGTGTAAGAGAGGCTGTTGCCACCATTTCCTGCAGAAACCTAGGTGAGGGGAGAAGGGAGCCAGGCTGAGGGGCAGAGCTTTCCTGGGAGAAGCTACCACCCTAGGGCCCCTGGATGGCACCCCAGGCTGGGGTAATAGGTCCAGGAGCCTGACTAGCTCTCAAAGGGTTAATTTGGAGAGAGCACCTGCCAGGTACCACCAGCAGCCAGGTGACTGTAAACAGGGCCTTTCCTCCTCCCTCTGCTCCCCTTCACTGCCTCCCCTTGGTTCTAATCAGCCCCCTTGCTCTCCCCTCCTGCCCCTGTCTCCCTCCATTCTCTGCTCTCCCAGCCCAAGAAGGTGTGTGTGCTCATCTGTGTAAAACTGGGAGAAGGAAGTCCAAGGAGAGGGAAACCCGGGTCAAGAAAAGGAAAGTCCCCCTCCCCCACCTGGAGTTCCAGCCCCAGGTGACCAAAGTAATTATTTACTAGTTCCAACAGAGAAGGGCCAGGAGAGGAAAGAGGGAGGAGAGGGTCCTTGTTTCCTTGAGACTTCTAAGAACCCCACCCAGGCTCACCTGGCTTGGTGAGACTTCTTCCTCAGAATCAGAGATCCCCCCCAACATTTCTCAATCTACCCTCCATTCTTAGGAAAAGAGTGGGGGCACAGGTGCTCGCTCCTTGTAAGTTTTGCCCACCCATGAAGGGTGCCCACCCATTTCACCTCTGGGCATCCCAGCCATAGCAGTGGCACTTGTTCAGCTGGACAGTGAATGCTCTTCTGGAAATGCTGGCAGTGGGGACACTCTCTCTTGAGGTCCCCTTTCTTCCATGGTCTCCTCCCCAGACCTTTCCCCTAGAACTCTTCTGACCTCCACCCTCCTCCTCGCCAGGCTTTCCACTGCTTACTTCATGTGACCCCTCACCTCTTCTAAGTTCTTTGGATTTTCCAAATACCCCTTCAGAACCCCTCCCCAGCCAAAGCCTCTGTCTCCTTCCACCCGTGGGGCCCATCCTCACCTCCTCATAAGGGCTACGCTTGGTACCGCCAGGGGGCACATAGCGCCCATGGGTGTGGTAGGTGGGGTACTCGCTCATAGGATGGTAGGTGTCTCGGGTTGGGAAGATGTCCAGCTGCCCACAGTTCTTTCGGCGGCATTGACACACAGCCTGGGAAGATAGGAGGTTATGGGGGGCCATGGAGTTCCTTCTAGCAGGGGGACTCTGGTTAGGGCTGAAGACGGAGCACTTACCAGGCCAATGAGATAGATGATGGTGAGCGCAACCAGAACACAGACCAGCACGAGCAGGGCAATGCCCCAGCCAGGTACCCCAGACCCAGACTGAGCAGAGGAAGGAAATGACACACCATCCACTAAAAGGGAAAGCAGTGATCAGGGCAGTCTCCCGAGGAGGTGACCCTCCCCCTACTAACACCCAGAGGAAGCAGGAATCCAGGTGCTGGAGAGAGGGGCCTGTAAGCATGGTGCTGGCCCAAAGCCAAGGGAAGTGGCCTCACCATGGATTCTTGAGATGACCAGGTTGTAATTGGCTGCTTCTGATTTATGTTGAGCAAACTGTGCCTCTACGTTGTTGGCATTGGTGGTGCCCTCTCGGAAGGCCAGAGTTGATTCCACCACCACAGATCCTGGCCTGCTCACAGGGAAATGAGCGATTCAGCTGCAGATTCCAGTTTCTGGGCACTTCCCCCAACCACAAGTGTACCAGTCCCTCCCCCACAGTCATGACAACATCTACCCACCCCAGACACAGTCCATACCCACAACTGTACCTGAACTTTACATTAGAGAAGCCCAGATAATTCTCCTGTTTATAAATCTGCAAAAACTGGGGTGAGAGGGAAAAAAGCACTAAGGTTTGGTGAGTGGGTCTGAGCAGTTCTGAAGGCTGCTGCAAGGGAGCACATGGAGGAAAGGTAGATACTTACCAATTCAGTAATGTTTCTCTGCAGTTCCTGGTAGTAGTTAGTGCTTGGATCTTCCAGGGAAGAGTTAAATTGGAGGTTCAAAATATGAAAGGACAGGAGGAACAAGGAAATCCTATAACTGGAAGAGGTGAAGGGTACTGTGCTACCATTAGTGCTACTGGCTGTAGTCCTGGTTCTGTGGCTGGCAGGAGTGGTGGGAGTATCAGAGTGGTGACTGGGAACTGAGGATGGAGTCCCCTTGCCAACAGGGGTGGTGGTAGCCTTGGCAGAGGTGCCCTTGTGTGCTGGAGTGACAGCTGAGCTTGAGGCATGGCTGGTGGTCGGGGAAGTGGTGGCACTGTGGATTGGAACAGTGGTCGAGCTTGAGGCACGGCTGGTGGTCGGGGAAGTGGTGGCACTGTGGACTGGAACAGTGGTCGAGCTTGAGGCACGGCTGGTGGTCGGGGAAGTGGTGGCACCATGAACTGGAGCAGTGGCCGAGCTTGAGACAGGGCTGGTGGCTGGGGATGGGGTGGCACCATGAACTGGAGCAGTGG